CTTTATACCCATCGTGCTAAAGCTGCCTGTACCATTTACTATGGTTCCTTTAGCCGTATATAGCATTTTGTATGGTCTGCTATAGAGATCTCTATTGCTCACTCTATGGATATTTTTAGAGAGTGTGCTATCGCAGCCTATAGTTTTTCTATTGTTTCTTTAGCCGCCTATAGCTCTCTGTACGGTTTGCTATAGCTTCTTTTATACCTCGTCTTATGGGTCTCTTTACCATCGTGCTATACCTTCCTGTAGTCTTTTTTTTACCGCAATCGTATGAAATGCGAAACAAGTTATTTGTTGTCGCTGCACATCTTTAAAAAACCTTGTAATACGTGTCGAACTTCATAACCCAATTAAAAAAAGAGCTAACGCTTCAACAAAAAAAAGATAACAACAAAAAAACAAATGCACTCACCCATGTGTTTGCAGAAGCACAGGCAGACAGACACAAGGAATTGTTTTCGAACCTCCTAGTAGGTTACTATACTTCGTTTCAGCTTCGGTCCGAGCGCGGCCGATGTTATGAGCCGAAGGGTCAATAAAACAGCGTAAAAAGCGCAGCGTCATGGTGTCCTCTCAGCGCTTGATAGGACTAGCCGGCGGAGGAGCGCGCGGAGAGAAACGGCGAACACCGGTTGGTCCTATCAACTGCAGAGAGCACGCCATGACGTTGTGCCTTTTTCGCTGTTTGATTGGCCCTTCGGCTCATAACATCGGCCGCGCTCGGACCGAAGCTGAAACGAAGTATACACACAGCCCATTCTGTAGACAAGCACAAACTAAGCAATCTGTAATATGTGAAGAGGTACCACTGAGGCTATTATACAACTGAGAATATTGCAAAGCAAACGAGATCCAAAGGCCATTCCTGGGTAGTGTCTACTCTCCCGGCAGCCGGTCAAATCCCCCCCCCCCCCGCCCAAAATTCTACTGCCAGTAGCCACTTATTGGCGCTGCAATCAGTTCATCGAACGACGTTTCATCGACAGATCGTTTCATCAACACGTGATGTTTATAAACAATCCAAAATATGTTTTTTTTTTTTTTGTGATGGGTTGCTGCAGACTCGCCAAGAAGTGGCGTGAACGGGTGGGCTGGGTCGGTGAGCACGCGTCTCAGGAATACAGGCGCGACGAAATGTCCCTGCAGCGTGCAATTCGCGTAACGAGTGTCGACGAACCGTTAGTGTCGACTAAACGTGTGTCCAGGAAACGTGTATCCACCAAAAAGGTGTCCATGAAACGTGTTTTCACAAAACGCAGGGAGAATAAGAAAGTCAGTAATCTAACTGCAATTTTCACTTGATTTCAGACAGCTAATGGCAGGGGACTGTGGTAGAATTTCGGAGAAATTATTCTCCCAGCTGTCAGAAGATAGGCACTGCAAGGAGATAGACACTACAGAACGATCAATTGTCGCCGAGTAGGTTGCAGCGCACTTAGGTTGAAAATACCGGACTTGAAAGATGTAATCCGAGATATATGTCGACACGGGGATTGCAGAACAACCACTCAAACACAAAACTGAGAAGGAAGGGATCCGTAAAGATTCGCAACGATGTAGCACAAGCTGTCATTTGGCAAAGCAAACACTGAACGCATCACAAGAGTGTCTTGGGCTTCTTTGAAGAAATCGCTTGTTGCCGACTTACGGGCAGAACTTTTCGATCGAGATACCATTTACCATAAAAGCGAAATCCACAGCAGCCCCGCGGGCTGCACGGCACGCGAAACTAGGTCCGCATAGGGTGCCTGCATGTTTCCGCCGCTCCGCTGTTTAGGGTGGCGACGCCGACAAACCAGTGTTGCCTACCTCGTTACCATGGCAACCTCCGCTGTTTTCGTTGACCATTTTGTCACACCCGCCGGTAGTGCGCTCGGACTACGCCGCTAGTCCTCGTTAGGGCTAGGGAATGCTCACCGCTCTCGTTCCGACGGCGAGGTTTCGGCTTTCAATGCCGGTTTGTGGCGTTCCATTTTGTCGCGGGAACTCGCGTTTCGATAAAAGCAACGCACACTTCCTGCTCGCAACTGCGAAATATTAAACACCCGAATAAAGAGAGCGACGTAAATAAATAAGAGAGCGACAGCCACCACGACCGCCATCCCGCTGCGTTTCCGACTCCTCTTATGAACGAAAACAGAAGTGGCCTCACAGTTGTCAGTGTGTCGAGACTACAGAAACTCAACGTTGTGTACGTTTAGCGAAACTAAGAAGTGGGAAAAAATGGCGGTGGGAGAGGATCTGGGAAAGGGTAACAAGAAGTTGGCGCCACCCTAAAGCGGAGCGGAAACATGTAGGCACCCTAGGCCCGCAAGCAGGCATTCCGGGATTGGCAACGGCTCATCCTTCATCCTTCAAAAAACGTGATCACGCTCCTTCCGTTACATGCGCACAGAGAGTGGCGTCAAGCGATGAAAAGTCCACAGTTGATTGGTCCGCCGAGTGCGCACCTTCTACAAGGGTTTCAGCTTAGGGAGACAGAGAAAACAGAGGAGTTGAAAAGCAGAGCTCCTTCAAGGCCAAAACGAGGGTGCGATCACAAAGACTAATCTTCTGGTGCATACCAACAAGGAACACAACGAGAGAATGTGTCACTTATATCCTGTTGACAGTTCGACCCAAGGTTGATAGTGCAGTGGATGGTATATGAGGCCTTGGGCTTAAGGCAGGTGGTGCCGTGTTCAGCGTTATCACCTGCTTTGAGACTGTTGTCACGTGACCATAACCGGAGACACGATTGGCATCAAGCACGCATAGCGTGTACTCTGTGAGCAGGACAGCTCCATGAAGGCCAGCTTTTGGACTTCCAAAGATGCACTTTCCAGAAGTGACCCTAAACGGGGCAGGTATGAAGATATATTTTACGCCGTGTAACCCACATAATATTTTGAAATGAAGAATTAATGGCGAATACTTTTTTGTGCAGGATGTCCAGAAGTAAATAAATAAATAAATATATATATATATATATTTATTTATTTATTCTTTTTTACCAAGCACTTTCGAATTATGTGTCAATTGTTAGGTTCGCATTTTTTAACTTAAATTTTGGGAATCTTTGCATCGTTGTGGCATTTTTGATTGCATGGTGTAAGAAATTTTTGCCGTTATACGTTTTTCATCCGTGAGTTCAGTCAGAGCAACGACGGAGCAACCGCGAAGCGAGAGACAGCTGCGGCTCGATCTGGCTGTCCGCGTTCGCTCTGATAGAATGTGAGCATGGGACTCTCGAGCAGCGCTAGCTTGCTGATGATGCAGGACGCCGCTTGCCGTTGAGAATCTTTGCCCTGTGAATGCCGGCGAAAATGTTCCCGTGCTCTGCGTTGCCTAGGCTGCAGCGCCTGTCAGAGACCGCCCGCGCAGCATGGCAACCTGTCTGGAGCCTCTTGGCCATCTGCGACCGCCGACGATTTATCGTCGCGACTTGAATGGGAGCATTTTATGGACCCCGCGAACATGAAACACCGCGAACATGAAATCCCGCAAAGATGAACTCCCGCAAACATGATCCCCGTGAACATGATCCCCGCGAAGATGATCCCCGCGAACATGATTCCCGCGACGACCGACCGCCAGCGCTCGCAGACGGAAGGTTCCGGTGCTGTGCGAACGGTTGTTGGAGGACGCTGCGTAGGGTACACCGGGTGCTGGAACGGCTTCGCAACCATTCGAAGGGCAAAGGATTCGCGACGACAAAATAGCGTCGTGCATCTTCAGTAAGCTAACGCTGCTTTAGAGTCTCAAGCTTACATTTCCCAGAGCGAGCGCGGCCGGCCAGATTGAGGCGCAGTTGGCTCTCCCGTCGCGATTGCTACGTCGTTGCTCTACCTACACTGATGACATGTGCACCGGCATTCGAAACAGCCCTCTTCGAGACTTTATTCGAGTCCAATAGACGACTTTATAGCGCGATAGACCATCGTGACAAGAGTAGAGCTCACCTCCGTAGTGGCGTAAGCAGTGGCTTTATGTTCGTTGACGCCGCGTAAAGAACGACGAAATATACACAAAAAACATTAAATATATTTATTACAACAGCCAGAAAGAAATAAAAACATGACAGGAACACGGACAAAGTAGAAAGCGCGCTACGAAATACATATACTTACCAAATACACTGGAAAAGACAGATAATTAGAGATAAAAAACGGAAGACTGAGATGACGTCATCGCCGAAACAAGGCAATGCGCAGTGAAAGCGGCCGTAAAAACTGCAATAGTCCTATAGGCAGCTAAGGACGCTTTTGTGATCGCGGTGTATAGCCGCGGCGACGCACGCCCCGTTAACCTGGCTAAAGAAACTTCTCGCCCCGATAGAGCGCATGAATGACTGACTGTCTTCTACTTTCCTACATCCACAGTAAAAAAAGAACAAAAGAAAAAAAGGTCGCGGGCCTATAGTTTAAGAAATATAGAACACCATTGAGCCCGCTAAAAAAATTTAACGGTCGCGAGTCTATAGCTTGAGAGGCATACATACCTGTACAGCCGGCTAAAGCACATTGAAATGTCGGAGGGTATAGTCAGCTAAAGAAAATTAAATGGTGCAATTCTATAGATTTACGGACATACACTACTCTATTGTCGGCTAAAGCACATTCAAAGGTCGGAGGTTCATAGCTTTGGTGACGTAAAACGCTATAGGGTTCGCTAAAGAAAATTCAATGGTCGCGAGTCTATAAATTTACTGACATACATTACTCTATAGCCGGCTAAAGCACGTTCAATAGTCGCGGATTTATAGTATTAAGGATATACATATTTTTATACTTCGCTTAAGAATATCGAACTGTCGCGAGTCTATAGCCGCGTAGCCATAAGTTGTTCTACAGCCAGCTATAGAAATCGGTATGGTCTAGATTCTATAGCTTCGAAGACAGATTTTTCTGTAGGTGGCTATTGCGAGTTTTATGGTTTCTTATGGCTGACCACAGAGGACCATAGAAGGTGATAGCTCACCATAGGATTTTTCATAGACGTCCACAGACCATTTTCGTATGGGGAACTACCAAGGACAAACTTTTCGAAATCAACTCACAGCGCCTGTGCGTATTACGAGAGCAAACAATGGTTGAGCGCCTGAGACATGATTTACCCAGATACGCAATATGTTGAAATGTCAATAGCCTTAATAATCTGAAAATAATAATCACGCAGGGATGGGCGGACGCAAGCTTTCGCGGAAATCCCCAGATACCAACCCCAAACTTGGATGTTTTGGCATCATCGGGAGTTATCCTGAACAACTACTATGTGCAGCACCTCTGCACGCCTTCAAGAGGAGCTCTCATGACTGGCCTCTACCCCATACACACAGGTGGGAAATTACGCTGTATCGACCACACCGGCCGCGTGTTTTGGTTCCAGCTTTCTGATACAGTTGTCGTATAACTGTTTAATGCCGTCCGTCTTATGAGGTTTGAATTTGAGAGAGTTGAAATTTGTCAAAAAGTCCAACTTACTGCTTACGCAATTCGTTGTCAACGTGGCGTCATTGTCGTTCCCGCGCTGCCTTCTACCACGATTCTTGTGATTTTCCCGCTTTCTCTATTAATTCGTTCTTGCGCCTGACCCGTATTCCGTCTGAGACGAGCCTCTGCAGCGCGCTGTAACTGAAAGTCGCATTTTTCGAACCAGCAACGAACGTTCCGAGGTCTATATCATACGACGTGAAAGTTTGTTTGGTCGGACGGTTGTGCGCATGCGCCGGCACAACGGGGTATCGACCAAAGCCAAGACTCCCAAGAAGACGAGGTACACGCATGAGGTCATCGTTGGCAGACCTCCGTCCCGCCCCTAGCGGCGAACACATTGAAGCTTTACGAGAGCCGCCGCAATACTTTAACATATAACTTTAAAAATATGTGCATTTGTGTCTTAAGCGGAGTAAAACGTATTTTGCTCCGCAACAAAGCTTGCCGCTTTAAACGCCCATCTGACAAGGTTCATGCTTTAATTGCTCTCCTATGAACGAAATACTAGATATATTTATATTTTCTAATGAAAAACTATTATAGCTTGCAACTAATAAAAACGAAGCAATTAAAATGCGTTTTCCAAGAAAATCAAATTCGACCATGCTAGATGTTTGAAACGTTCCGTCATTCAAATGTATATAACAAATTGTATTTTCTACATATAATGTGGACTTTGTACTCATTACAAGAACTAGATTTGATCTGTTTAATGACTTAAAGATGATTAAAATATCTTAAATAAATAACACATAGAAAGTTGCCCTACTTTTCTGAAAATATTCAAAGGAAAACCGTTCGACATCGATTTTTTAAACAGACTAAAATATAAGTTATTAGCTATTAAGCTTCATAAATTCTACTTTAAAAGTGTCACAATTAGTTTTAGTGTTTTCTTTCGAGACATTAGAATATAGCTATCGGTGAAGCCTGCAATCCGGACCCGGTGCGAGAAACTTCAGTTTTCGCACGGCCACTTCAAAAACCAGAAACTAAAAAAAAAAAAAAAAATCCGCCAAGTGTGCCGTTTGACTTCTATTTTATATTAAGAATGCTCAAAGAATATTAAAAAAAAATCCACTTCCAAGACGGTGTTTGATTTGTGACGAAAACAGCCATAAATATTTTGCGCTGCCGTTTTCTGATGATGGCGCTAAATCGTTCCTATTGCGTTTCCGTGCAAAACGCGAGTGCGAAACGCTGTGTTTCAGGCTGACATTTCTCACCGGCAGGCTGATACAAAGCGCGAGATAACCTTGGACGTTTTATGGAATCTTATGTTGGATGGCGAGGGTTATCTAAGATTTTGTAGCCATATGCCATACTTGGATATTGGGGTCTTTTATCCAACGAAAATTTGTTGGACTCGTCATATAAACTCAGAATGGGGAATGTACGGAAACAACCAGTGGCGAGTCGTAATCCAAGATGGTGCACTGGATGTAACATTTTCAAAGCCGATTGCCGTGCTGTTCCATACACCATAGCAACCTAGTCAAGACGGAATCGCACAAGAGAATTGTGTAGGCGCAGGAAACATCTTTTATCTGATCACCAAGTCTTCTTAGCCACGACCTTTAACGGCTTCATATTTTTAAGGTATTTTTTCTAAAACACTTCAAGTGAAAAAAAAAGTAAACCTTTTGTCAAGGATCAAACCCACAAATTTGTGCTCATCTTTAAAGGGATTGTCCGGTCAAGTTTCGTATTTGAGAAAACAATTGAATATCATTGTTATTGGATCGAGACGCATCGTACGCGCAATATCTGAATTTCGTAAGCCCCTCTGCATGAGTAATTTAATTTATACTGCTCCAATCGCACTCTAGCGTAAACGGTGCTTTCCGTGGCAACATTGGAGCTCTGACGTCACACAACACAAAGCGAGTATTTCTGTCTCGTTAGTTTTGTCGTTTACCTGCAAGTGAATGCCTCATCCTGCTTCGTTTTTGTTGATGTGCTCGACTTGTTTCGTGGTTGGGTGAGATTTTTGTTGCGCGGTTGGGTGCCACAACCACTGGGCAGCACATGCGAGCCAAGACATGACGTTCCACACTTTTCCGCGAGGCGTGCAGTGACGAGCAAAATGGATCGTCGCCGTGCGTAGGGACTGGGTTCCCGTCAAGATCAAGATCCCGCTTATGCAGCAATCATCTCACAGAACAGAGCCACGAGCCGAGTTCAGCGGACAGAAGGCTCGTAAGCTGAGGTGTGTTGCCGTGCCAACGATATTAAACTACGTCCATACAGTCCTCGCCCAGATCGGATCAATCATTTTGTTTATGCAGCGAAACCGAAACCAACCGCTAGACCACCTGGAAACAATACCAGAAGTTCTATTTAGCACGCGTGCCGTCAAATTCTGTTTGACCCGCATGTGCAAATAGAGCGTGGCTACGATTCACCGAGCTCGTCCAAGTCAAGTGACGACATGCAGTTGAACGATTCGCCGGTTGCCTTCGACCCGCGGTCATCGCCTCTGAGGGAAAGACCCGCAGCCTCATCACCGATCCAGAGGAACCGCCAATATGTGTACCCAGATACTCTTCGTCTACCTAGTTGCCGCTTCAGAGGCGAAATCTGCATCCTTTGCTTTGCAAGCTCTCCTGATTCGTTCGGTGGCCGTCGCAGTTGTGCTTGCACGAAACGGCATACGTTGACTCGAAGCTTATGGCAGTTTTCGAGTAATATCCTGCTAAAAGGCGTGACTTTTTTTTGCACACACTTGGGAACTGCAAGAAAAGAACTTTATTTCAGTAGGGTACAGCCTAGGAGAGTGAATCTAAACCATCGATGTTTCGCGGACCCCTTGTGGATCGGCGGAGATGATGGAGGACCCCGTTCGTAGTGAGAGGAGAGAAAAGGTCTAGGTTAAATATAATAATCATTTATTAAATGATTATAACTAAGGGCTAGCGTGAAGTAGACCTCTCTTATTGACGTTCACACGAAAAAACTCGCCCGAAAACTAAAACATTTCTTTTCGACCTAAAAAAAAAGAACTTTTATTGTTGGACTTGACTGATGAGGCACAGCTTCAAGGACCCCCATCTGAGAACCACTGGCCTAGGAGACTATATAATTTGAAACAAAACACAAGACATCCATCGACCAACGCTTGTTATCCCGACCATCCGACAAACCTTTGCGTTTTGTGACGTCACGCAGCAGCTACGGATGTCAGTCATACACACTGGCGAAATTCGGGGTGCAGTTTCGTACATATGCTCATGAAAGGTTTAGTTAATAACGGGATGTCATATATAAAAAATAAAGATGTTGTTTGTCGAATTGAAGGCTCCCTCGACGTATCGGGTGCGAAAACTTAAGTACTTCCGGTTTCGACCGGACAATCCCTTTAACAGGCAACCGGGTGGCTTTCAGTTCGAGGTCTGCAATCAAAGGTAGCTTACAGGGCAAGGAAAACGGCACACAAACCGTTTCCTCTGGGGAAAACCTAAAATCATTTCCGTCGGCCAGACTAGCAACTTTATTTAGGGCTAACTGAAGCTGGCGTTCACAGGTGAAACTGTTACGAGAGGAACACGAGATTTGAAGATCGTCTATGTAAATTGAGTATGAGATGGAAGACGGGAGTGCAAATCCCGACTGGTGTGTGCAGGTGTTTACCGGCGGTCCGTATCTTCGGACCGTCTCACGGTGTTGTCACTGTCTGAAGGTGTTGGGAGAGCCTCCCACTCATAACGCAGTAGTCTGCTCCGGTGTCGACGAGTGCCGTCGCGTCGTGGCCGCCTATCATAACGTTTAGGTTATTCGGCACTGTTGCGCAAACATCGCATTGGGGCATTGCGGCGCTAGAGTGGGAGAACGTCGACGATCTTGGAGGATCTTGGCATCGTTCGTCTTCGGCAACACCACCTCCGGGCATTGCTGCGCCTAGATTTCCCGACGGAAAGCGATGGGTGACAGGCTGTCTCGGCGAGACCGGCGGAAGGGCCATGGCGAGCGTAAGGAAAACGGTGAACGGAATGCTTAGCGGAGAGACGACTCAGCAGGTGAGCGCCGAAGGTAGTTCTCGATATTCCGAGCCCGCTCTCCAAGACGTGATCGAGAGTCGTGGGGCCCAAATTAACCGCCGTAGGCCCAGCTGGCGGTAGGATCATCGACGGTAGATGTGGTCCGCTTCACCGCTGTGTTAGCAAAGCGTGCGTCGATCGGCCGCGCGCCACACATCCGTCTTCTTAGGCTCCGTTTGTTCAGTACGAACGAGCTGGGGCTGCCCTTCCCGGCTTCGGAAAGCCTTCGGCTCTGGGCGACGTCGCGGCTGCGTGAAGCACTGCCAGGCAGCTGGCGCCAGTCTTCGAGCTACTGCCGCGTAGGTCGGGGAAGGCTCATCGGGTGCTGCTACGCTAGTAGAAGCCTTAAATTTGAATGCCCGTTGAACTTCGTCGCGGACGACTTCGGCTATCGACAGCGAAGCAGGCTGGGGGGCAGCAGGCAGGATCTCCCATATTTGCTCCCGGATGATTTCGCAGATGTCCTGGATGTTGCAGCTGGACGGCGAGAGGGAAGCGAAGCCGGGAGGTCTCTGGTAGTGTGAGGCCCGTGCTTGAAGGGCAGGTTCGATGTTGGTGGCCTCAATGATGAAACCTTCGATGGTAGTAGGCGGGCTCTACACGAGGCTCTCGAAGATGTTTTATTTCACACCCCGCATTAGGACCTTCAGCTTCTTTTCTACGGGGGCGTCAGGATCCGCGCGGTTGCCCAGTCGAAGAACATTTTCGACAAAGCTAACGACGCTCTCGTTAGCGTCCTGAACCTTCGCTTGAGCAAGGCTTCGGCGCGTTCTCTGCGGTGTTGGTGAATGTTCTTCGTAACTTAG